TTTTTTTTTTTTTTAAGATTTTATTTATTTATTTATTTATTAGAGAGAGTGAGAGAGTGAGTGTGAGCTGGGGGAGGAGCAGAGGGAGGGAGACAAGGAGACTCCACGCTGAGGGTGGAACCAGTGCAGGGATCAATCAAATGATCCTGAGATCAAGACCTGAGCTGAAACCAAGAGTTGTACGCTTAACTAACTGAGCGGCCCAGATACAGCAAGCCTTTTTTTTTTTTTTAAGTAAGCTCTACACCCAACATGGGGTTCAAATGCAAAACCCTGAGATCAAGAGTCACATGCTCTACTGACTGAGCCAGCCAGGTGCCCCTATTTCAATCTTTTTAATGTTTTTCGATCTGATAGATAAAACATATCTTACAGTTTTTATTTAATTTTGAGGGAGGATAATTTTTTTTATTTGTTTAAAAACCATTGATACTTTCTTTGAGCTGCTTTTCCTTATCCTTTGCCTATTTCTAAAAATGTGATTAATCTTAATGATTTGCAAGAGCGCTTTATATGTTAAAGATGTTAGCTCTTTTCCATTATAGTGAAAATACTTCTTCCCTTTTTGTTGGAAAACTTATTTGTAGGAACTTCATAGATTGATCTAACCATTCCCCTTTGAAGATGTTTCTGACAGAGATTTAGGTTCCTAAACATTTACCCATTTTTGATGATTTCTGTGGGAGAAAGTCCTGGAAATCCAGTGTTGTTTTGACAAACCTGGTTTTTAATTGTGCCTTTATAGTCATTGGGGGAATCTAACTGTAGATAAATAGCCTGAGATCTCTCATTAGGAACAGTCATTAAAAAACTTTATTTCAGGGGTGCCTGGGTGGCTCAGTCGGTTAAGCATCTGCCTTTGGCTCAGGTCATGATCCCAAGGTCCTGGGATCAAGTCCCTCATTGGGCTCCTTGCTCAGCAGGGAGCCTGCTTCTCCCTCTGCCTGCCACTCCTCCTGCTTGTGCTCTCTCTCTCTCTGTCAAATAAAATCTTAAAAAAAATAAAATAAAAAAATAAAAACTTTATTTCATACAGGTGTGTATATCCTTTACTTGACCATGTGTGGTTATAAAACTAACGCTGATAGTTTTAACTAATTATATTAAAATGTAGGAGTTTTTGTTGTTGTTATTGTTTCTTTTTTTTTTAAGATTTATTTGAGAGTGAGAGAAAGTGAGCATGTGTCGGGGGGAGGGTGGTGGCCAGAGGGAGAGGGAGAAGCAGACTCCCTACTGAGCAGGGAGCCTGATGCGGGCTGATCCCAGGACCCTGAGATCATGACCTGAGCCAAAGTCAGATGCTTAACTGACCGAGCCACTCAGGCACCCCTCCCTTTAAGATTTTATTTATTTATTTGAGAGAGAGATTATTATTGTTTTAATGTTATTTATTCTTTAATTTCAGCCTCCTTGCATATGGGTATAAGTCAGCCTTTCTGTTTTTACCCAGCTGGATTGTAGTTTAGGATAGTTAAAATGAAGATTATCTGTAGGAAATTCATAATGTAATTGTTGGTATCCGTAATCTGCTAAGCTGTTCTGAAAGGTTGGGGCAAATCTAATTTGTTCAGAAATAGTAGTCATAGTTTTTCTGTTCCCAGCTATTGGGAAAGTGTTTGATTCATCTCTATTCATTTTTGTATTCCTTCTAACATCTCACCTTGCTCATCCCATTCCAGTCCAAGCTCATTCAATGTTTTGGAACTGTTTGTATAGATGGGAAGTCTGTCTATAGACCATATATACTAGTTCCTAGATGCTTTTGGGGTTTTATAAGTGTACCCCATGTTTTAGATCCTCAACTCAATACATTCTGGATCTTTATAGAAAAAATGATTATAAAAGTTTAGTATCAGAAATTTACTTTTTTCTTCTCGGGAAAATAATCTTTATTAAGATAATAGTTTGTATCTGGTAGTGGTCCCATTTTCTAAGAGAGGGAATAAGAAAATGTGACATTTTCCTTCTTGTGTTTGGACATTATTCTGGTTTCTGAGCAGAAATGAAACTAGCTTACCAATTTTTATAACTTTTAATTGTAGAGAAGTTGACGAGTGAGATTCAAAGTCGGGAAAATAAATGCATGGCTATGTATAAGAAGCTGAGCAGGTGGCCAGAGTGCAATGCCCTTTCCAGGCGCCTCTTATTGAAAAAGTGAGTAGATGCTTCTTTTTGGACCATGAGACTGGAGTGGGGCTCTCAGGTGTTACTACTGAATTTTTTTTTTTTTAATCTGTTGTCTTTTAGATTGTCTGGGCATAAATCTTTTAGTAGTGTGTGTCCTAGGTATTTTTAAAAGTTTTTGATGAACCTTTATCTTTTGGTAAAGAGGTATAATGGAACTTATGCCGCAAGGGTGCTGAGTGTTACATCTTCAGAATGAATGCTAAAAATCATTGATTTGTTAAATTCAGTATTGGTCTAAAAGAAACATGTCCCTCCCCTCTGCCCCCCCCCCCATTTTGGGGAAGTGCTAACGTGGGAATTTTCTGTTAAGAATATTAGTTTTCTGGACCTGGTTATTTCATTGAAGGAAATAATTGTTTCTTAAAAGTTTTTTACTTTTTTTTTCTTTAAAAGTTTTTTTGCTTTGAAAATGCCTTTGGAGTTGCCCTTTTAGGGCGGCAGAGGAAACTCAGAGGGAGGGGTGGGCTTCTCCTAGTAAAGACTAAAATGTAACCTAGAAAATAAGTTGAGTATCATGATTCCTAGGGCAGACTTGTCACAACTTGGGTTTAATCCTTTGTGCATCATTCAATCTGATTTTAGCTCAGATGACTGGCAGTTCTATCTGACTTATTTCGATTCTGTCTTTCGACTGATTGAAGATGCCTGGACTCCTCCTGCTGAAGGTGAACAGTAAGTTGACTCCTTTCCTGAGTTACAGTGGCACTTTTTAGCATGGTGTAGCAAAAGGATTTCATTGGAAGCCTAATAGAATTCTTTTTTGGTCTCAATAGTGTATCCCTTTCAAAGTAAGATTTTTCATTTATTTAAAATTATAGAATAAATATGTGTTCATTGTAAAAAATCTTAAACTAGTGCAGAAATGTTTGGTGTGAAAGTGTTAGTTCCTAGTCTTACCATCCCAGAAATAACATTTTTTTCCTTTTTCCACTTTTATTGAGGTATAATTGATTCAGAGATTATTCTTTTTTTTTTTTTTTTTTAAGTAATCTCTGTGCCCATGATCTTTGAACCCATGATCGAGTCGCATGCCCTGCCAACTGAGCCAGCCAGGTGCCCCCAGAGATAACTCTTGATGGCAGTTTAGAGTCTTTTCTTCCAGATTTATTTCTGTCGATATACTAACTTAATTCTCATTATTTAACATAAAAATGCAGTCATATTAGACATAATGGTTTGCAACTTAGTATTTTCTCCCTTAAAATATATCTTGAGCATCTTCCATATATGGTACATATGGATTCATTTCATTCTTTTTAGTGACTTAAGAGAACTCCACTTTAGAGATGTACGGTAATTCATTTAACCTGTACCCCATTGGTAGACTGATGGACACTTGGATTGTTGCTGGTTTCCTTTTTTTTTTTCCTTTGCTATTCTAGACAAAAATACAAACATAAATGGGATCCTTTTAAAAAGGAAACAGGATTTAAGATGGTGATGAGCTGATGCTTACTTTGTAATATTAACTGAGTCATCTAACTTTTCTCAGTCTTCATTCTTTAAGCAATAAAGTAAAATTTACTTAGCTTTTTTAATTATGCAATATTTTATGTATATAAAGTTATCCTTTTTTTTTTTTTTTTTAAGAAAGTGGTAGAGGTAATTAGTCATAGTGCAGTAATCAGATGGCAAAACTGGGAGTAATCCTTTGCCATGTTGTCAGAATGTGCTCCTAGTTCTTTTACTCCCATATTATTTTATAATTATCAGAGTACTTTTTATTTTTTGTTTCTTTAAGTCAGTTTGGCTTCACTTTTAAGTTTTAGGATGGACAAGAGAGGTACAAAATACCTTTCTCCATGTGTTTTATACTTAGCTCTTTAGAAGGAGAAGTGCATTATTCTGCAGAAGAAGCTGTGAAGTTTATAGAAGATCGGATAACAGAAGAATCTAAAAGTTCCCGCCATCTCCGAGGACCACATCTTGCTAAACTGGAACTGATTAGACGTTTAAGATGTCAAGGTTTTAATGATGAGTACAAACTGGGTAAGAACCCTTAATATTATTTGGGAACCTTGGAGAAGATACAGGAATGACCTCCATACCCAAGTGCAGTATTCATTCTCTGAGGTCTACGATGAAGTCATGTTTGGGAAGCAAACATCTTCATAACCTGAAAATATTTACTCATGAATGGATTACTGATACCATTAGCCCTCAATCGTATCTTCAACTCAACATTAGCATCTCTTCCTGTTCCACCAGAGGCTTTATCAGGCATTCTTTTTTGACCCAACATTAATGTCAAAATCAATTTCAAAGTAAAATAGCCAGTTTCATGAAGTGGATGAAAGGTTTCTTGTAAGTCTGCTTCAGGCACTCACAAAACCATTGATGAAAGAACATCTGGCAGAGTTAGAACAATTAACAGTTAAGAGAAAATTTATAAGGACAATGACAAGATAGGAGAAAAACATGATTTGGGTAATAGTGCATGAAGAGAGGCTTTCGGGAAAGTTGATGAAGCCCTTCGGTGTTTTTTGAAAATGTTTCTTTTTGAGCTTACTTCATAAGAAATGAAGGATGTCATATTGTGCTAGTTCACAATTTTGTTGGAAAAATGGCACCCTTCCCCTCAGAAAGTAATTCTTTGCTCATACTAAGAATTAGCTTATAGTTTAGTTATACCCTAAATTTTGTTAAGTTTAAGTTAATAAACTTAATTTTTTAGTTTCATTTTTTAAAGATAAAGCTCCAAAGAAACCTTTTTTCCCCCTACTTATCATTATGGAAGTTTGGTTCTCGTTAAAAGTTGATCAGGGGGCGTCTGGGTGGCTCAGTCGTTAAGCGTCTGCCTTCAGCTCAGGTCATGGTCCCAGGGTCCTGGGATCGAGCCCCACATCGGGCTCCCTGCTC